AGTTTGGTTTCGGCTTAGCTTGGATGGTGTCACGGATATTTATAACTATCTTTATGGAAGGGATAACAACGGTTTCAGTATCATTAATTGGCCATTATTCGAAGAATTACTTTATTCTTGAGAAATGGTTAAGCCCCGGATGAGCCTTGAGGTACTCAAGCCTTAATACTTAAGGCCTCGATTAGGCCTGAATTGAGAGGCAATCTAAAATAACGTTGAAATCATGTGAAATTATCATAGTCACTGAAATCACATGATTTCAACTCTCTGAAAGCATTTCTGAAATCACGCTGAAGTCATAAAATCATAACGAAGTCATTTGAAATCAATAAATATTTTGCAAGAGAATCCGACGAAATTAATATCGATGATTGGTGTTTGTTTAAACAGGAAAAATATCCTACTTGTTTACTAGGATTTCTACTTAATTTCGCGTATGCCGAGGGGAAAACTCAGCGAAGCCGAGAATTTTCGAGCCAGTATGCTCGTGTCAGTGGTAATAAAAAAATATGAGTGTTCTGTGTCATCACTGTTAGAAAAAACATGAAATTTCATGGACAGTTGACTACCAATTTTCAGGACAGGGACACTGAATGTGATTTAAGGGGAAAAAATCATAAAATTTCAGGTTTCACTGAAAATTCAGTCAAATTCCAGAATTCAGCAGCATCAAGACGCAAATTCCTTAATTTATTTGAATTTCCAATCTAATATGAATATTCAGCGTCAAATTACATTGAATTTTCAGTGAAATCTCGAATTTCATGATTTGTTTCCCCTACATCGCATTCAGTGTCACTGTCCTAAAAATAGAGAAAAATGGAATGCAAATTGACAGTTCTCTTTGATTTTTCCACGAAATTCTGAATTTTCAATGACAAGATTTTCTGAAATTTCAATGGAACTTGAACACGATAAAAATTTACAGAATTTAGCATGGAAAATTCAGACGAAAATTGTTAACAGTGATTGGTATATTTTGCATAAGAGTTTTAATTCGTTAAAATCAGAGCTAATAACTGTTCATGACGACATTGATTCCGTTGATTACTGAAAGAGGTGAATTACAGCTCCATGAGAGCTTTTTTAATGAGATTAAAAAATATTTCTAAAGAATACTATTGCAAATTTATTAGCAAAAATATATTGACTATGTTATGACGAAAGTAATTTCCCACTAGTTTTTCTCCGTATTAAATCCTCCCCATAAAGAAAAAAGTTCGCTCAAAGAGTAATTGTGAAACAACAAAAAAATCCCTCCCATTCCCCAAGAAGATTAAACTAGAGAAATTGCCCTACATTTCTTAAATACGTGGGAAAATTCTAGCCGTCAAGTACCCGCAATTAACCAGTCCACTCCATAACCCCTGAAAGCCGGGTTTTCCCACTAGCTAATACCCCCAAGAAGTATTTAGGCAAAATCTCCACAACTTTTTCCCCAGTTGTAAAATTTTCGCATCTGGTTGACACGAGGCGCACACTCGACATTAGCCGAAACTCCCCCTTCTCCCCTACCACCTATGTAATATAGTATATCCGAAGCATTTTCAAGAGGTAGGTGATGGTCACGGATGTTGCCCATACGTCTGTCTTACGACTAGCCCCAAAGGTGGGGAAAATACAATTGAACATGAAGAGGTTTGAGTTGGCCATAAACGTCCGTGACAATAGATAGCCCCCACCCTATTCCATTCTTTCTCTTTCTCTTTGACTGCCCATTCTCAAGTATATTTCAGTGCTCTGGCACATATAAATTTTCGTGACTTTTTTGCCCTCTTTTGGTGCACACGTGGGCTCGGAGTAATCCGTCCAGGGTGTGTTACTGCTTTATTTTTATTTGACACTTCCGGGTTTGGGAAATTTTGCAGATTTATTGTTTTTTTTAGGAATTTCGGTACTGGTTGCAGTTTTCTGAATGGGACATCCTGGGAGATAATATTTCATTTTCATTTTTTTCTCCATCTACTAGGTCCCACTACTGAAGATATACTATATATGTGAGGGTTGCTGAAGGGCTCTATTTTAGTCCATACGCTGAGAAGGGTTGAGTATGCATTTTGAGAAGAATATTTGCAACAAAACTTTTCCTATAGTTTTTGAGGCGTAGAATGTGAATTTCTTGACATGTCAGCTGAATTTTACCGCAAAAGCATTATTATTAACAATTTAAAAGTTTTTAATTTTAGCCATTTTTTGTTGACATTTTAGCTCACACACGAAAAAAATGTCAACAAAAAATGCGCCAAATTCACAACAAATCTAATGGGATTTGATTTTTTCAAATATTTCAAATGGTTTTTGAGATATGAATTTTGCAATACAAAGCGCAGCGCTTCCATTGAATTTGTCCACCAATAGGCCTAATACCTCTGGAAGTGTCAGCACTATCAGCGCCATAAAATGACGTTGTACTTCAAAATATTCTCCATAAAAAAGGCCCCGCAGTAGATAACAAAGACAACACTGTTTATTCTTTGGAAATATTTGCGTAGAGTATTTCAATACGTCAGGGGTACTCCATTTGAACCGGATTCCACGAGAGCCGCCTGCGTAAAGAGATATCAATTATCAAAAGACAGCCAGACAAATATTCTTCACCGAAGGAGCAATTATATGCCGAGTTTTGATCAAATGAACCTCTTTATTTTAACGTTTTCATTCATTTCAACAATATTTTTATTATTTATCATTTACTAGGGGAACGACACGCGCGCATGAAATGTAGAAGTCATAAGTTAAGCTAAGTCATCATCACAAATGACTAATATTCATTCATTGATCATATTGTTTTTAAAACTGATTGATATGGAAAAGGAATTGAAAGGTTAAACGATATTGTTTTTACATTTTATTATAGTTTAATGGATTGTATCATGAATCGATTTCGCATAAAATTCCACTTCTTTCGATCTTGTTTTATTTTCCTTATCATTATTTTCATTGTCACGGTTATGATATTTCAAGCAATGAAAGTGAATAAATATTGCCATTTAAATTAGTTATTAAAAGTGAAGAATAAAATGAAGACATTTTTTGGTAAAAATAAATATATCATAATTTTCTCATAATTTGTATACAAAAAATTATATATATATCATTAATCAATATTTATAATATTTTTTAAATGGTACAACGCCTACCTAGGGAGGGAAAATAAAGGAGTCGTGTCCATGTGCAGAATTACCACCTGAACCGAATAAAAAAAGACGAGAGTAGTAAGCACGTAAAAAAACGAAAATAGTGATGGTAGAAAGTGACGTTAAACATTTTCAATTTCCAAAAATATAAATCAGGGAACGAAATGAATCTATAAGCACCAGGAATTAAATGACGAAAGTCAATAAAAGCATTGGCATTACCTGCCTCTGCCTGTTATTTTGGGGACCAAGGTATTTTGTGAACACGAAATTCGTTTATTCAAACACTTATTGTTTCCTGCTCTCATTGGAACGTTCATTTTCGAGAGTAACAAGGAATTTAATTTATTATGAAATTAATCCTATTTAATCCTGATTTATTTGAAATTAATTCTACTTTGAGAATGGAAAAAATACTTTATTTTGACAAATCCTCACGGTGTTATGAATTTTGACTGTTTGTAATGTACTGTGACAAAGGAAATTAAGATATATCTGATACTTAAACAGCGAATTTGATCGACGATTAGAATTGAGAAGAGTTTGGGCCATGATATGACTGAAGTCGAATGGTACGGTCACGAAAAATACGAGATACCTTGTAATAAATCTTGTTAAATTAATGGTAAGTGGCAATTGAAAGTTCAACTCTGAATACAAATGTTTCGATATGATTCTTAACGATATCCAACGTTCGGACGTAGTAAACTGAGGTAGTAAAAGAAATTTTTACTGTTTCCGAAGTAATTCAGTGATAATTTACATTCATATTTACGACATCATTGAACAAAATATTTTCACTGATGATGTTTTTCTGTTTAGATGTCATCATTATCTCTTACTATCAATAATTGCCATAGATAACTTTATCAACACCGTGCTTCGACCGCTCAATTATAGTATTATCTATTCGTATTTGATATCCCGCAATAATATTATGCCCAGAAAATCACAGAAATTCATTACAGAGACTGTCCCTATTGTTCTACTACTTTTAGAACTGAAAGAAAAATCCGTTCACCTAATCTCTTCGCATCAACACCCCCGCCCCCACCCTCGAAAGGTTCGCCCCTCACGTCGCGAAACCCCAAAACCCAAAGGAAAAAAAAATAACACGACACCAAANCCCAAAACCCAAAGGAAAAAAAATAACACGACACCAAAGCTTTCCCCCCAAATGGTCACGGTTATCCATCCGAGGCGTCGCACCGACCCTTCACTTCCCTATCCCCCCCCCCGCCTCTCGCTCATTCCAACACATCCCAAAATCGTCTCGCATGTGGGTGGGCAGAAAAAAACAAGACCGAAAAGAGCAAAAAGGGAGAAAAAGACAAGAGGGAACTGGCGCCGTTCTGTCGCCCCTCCGACAATGCTCATGCTCCCATCGTCCCTCCCATCTCACCGCCTCGAGTAGTCGGTGAGACTGAGACAGTGAAACCCCCGTAGATACAACAAAACCGAGTACGAGGTAAGACAAAAAAGAGGAGAGAGATGAAATCACGTTGTGCTCAAGCACAGCCACTCAACGGATTTTGACTCTCGAGTTCTCCTCTCTCGACTCCTAGACTCGTTGTGGGGGCGGTTGCGGCGGCGGGGGGG